CAAGGGCCGTAACCACTGTGAAAAACAACCAGGGCACACAAGGAAACACGGCAGAAAGATGACCAACAGGAAAACAAAAACAGGCAGCAGAAATAAATTGGCGTAGTTTTCACGCACAGATATAAAATAAATATGCTTACTAGGTTTAATGAAATAAGCTTGAACAATAATTACAGACAACAGTATACTATAAAAAAAACTTGTAGCACATTTGAGGGGATAAAATAGAACTTCTAGAAAAGAAAAAAGTAACCAAAATAATTCTGTCAACCTTTTAGCAGCATATTGGATTTTGCAGAAGAGAGAATTGATGAATCAGAAGATAAATTTAAACAAATCACCTGAATGCTACCCAGAGAGAGACTGTATTGTATTTTAGGGTCCTCCAGAGAAACAGAACCAATAGGTATATATAGGTATATAGAAGGAGATATCTTAGGAGGGACTCAGTCACGTATTTATGGTGGCTAAGTCCCACAGTCCACCATCTGCCAGCTAGACCTGGAAAGCTGGTGGTGTCATTCCGATACAAATCTTGAAAGTCTGAGAACTGGAGGGTTGATGGTATAAGTCCCAAGTCCAAAGGCCCATGAACTGGAAGTGCTGGTGTCCAAGAACAGGAGAAAATGGATACCCCAGCTCAAGGAGAGAGAGCAAATTTACTCTTCTAACTTTTTGTTCTATTCTGGCCTCAACAGATTGGATGATACCCCACTGTGGTGGAGTATCTTCTTTACTTAGTCTACCAATTCAAATGCTAGTCTTTCCAGAAATGTTCTTAACAGACACACCCAGGAATAATGGTTTACCAGCTATCTAGGCATCCCGTAGCCCAGTAAAGTTGATACACAAAATTAACCTTCACAGTGACAATGGTAGAAACTACAGTGGAGAAGAGGATAAGGGTTATGCAAATGCAAACAGAGGTTTGATGACATCCTAAGAAGAGAAGAGAGAATGAGAATTTTCTAAAATTGATGAAAGACATCAATCCATAGATTCGAGGCCAGCAAATCTCAAATAGGAACAATAAAAATACAAACCTAGACATATTACAGACAAAATTTAGAAAATAATAAGACAAAACAAGACATTATCTTCAGAAGTATGACGCTTTAATAGCATCAGAAACCAGTGAGATAATATCCTCAGTGTGCTAAAAGAAAATAACGGCCAGTCTAGATGTCTACACACAGTAAAAATAGCTCTTGACAATGAAACTGAAATAATAGATATTTTCAAAGAAACAGAAACAGGATTCATCAGCAAAACCTCACAAAAGAAAATTCTTAAGGACAGACTTCAGGCAGACACAAAGTGAACACAGATGGAAGGTCTAATATAAGAAGGAATGAAGAGTGAAGGAAGAAGTGAAGTGAATGGACAAATGTAGGTAAATGCTGCTTGCATAAAAGAGTAACAATAATTTATTGAATCTTATTGAATCTCAATAATTCATAAGTTGCAGAATAAGATTGTGTGGAAATTGGATTTAAACTGTCCTAAGATCCTTAATGTTCAAAAGTTTTGTTTAACTGAGACTTTGATAATTATGTGTCTAATTTCTAAAGTAACCAGTAAAAAAGGGGGAAGGATTATGTAATTTCCAAACTAATAGAGAGGGGGGAATAGAACGATTATTAACCATTTATGTTTAGCAAGCTCATTTTAAAATGTATAGAGAAATGCAAAGGGCCAAGAATAGCCCAGTTATTCAGGAAGCAAATGAACAAGATGAGAAGACTTGCTGGTCTACCTGATACCAAGATTTAAAAAGCTCTAGTAACTAAAGATTAGCATTAATATAAGTTGAGACAAACAGATGGGACTAATAGAGAACCTGGAAACAGACCCATGCATGAGAGCACTTAGAGCACTGCAGAGCAGAGAAGAAAAGACAGACTTCAATAAATGTGGTTGATTATGAAATCAGCTCCAAGTGGATTAAAGAAAAGATCTAGGGGCACCTGGGTGACTCAGTCAGTTGTGTCCAACTCTTGATTTCGGCTCAGGTTACGATCTTACAGTTTGTGAGATCGAGTCTGTGAGATCTACATGGACAGTGCCGAAACTGCTTTGGATTCTCTTGCTCTCTGCCCC